CGCGTACTTGTTCGCTATCGGAAACCTGGCCGTATTTAGCCTTGGATGGAGCTTACCACCCATGTTGGGGCTGCACTCCCAAGCAACCCGACTCTTCGGATGCGTCTCGTGGAGTGACGGGTCGTCGCCCGACGGGGGTGTCACCCTCTCTGCCGCCACTTTCCAGTGGACTTAAGGCGGCGCCCGTCACAGAGAACGCTTCCTTTTCAGACTACAATTCGGAGGGCCGGGGGCCCTCGGATTTCAAGCCTGGGCTTTTCCTTGGTCGCTCGCCGCTACCAAAGGAATCACGGTTGTTTTCTTTTCCTCCGCTTAGTAATATGCTTAAATTCAGCGGGTGGTCTCGCCTGACTTGAAGCCATCGTTGGGGTTTGCCCGGTTCCTCCCGTCCGACCATTTTTGTACGAGCCCCGTCCGCCTCTCGCCCGTTCTTGTGCGCTACTTTGGAGGGGGAGACCGGGGGTTGCCACGCCCCCGGCTCCCGAACCTTTTCGCGACCGTCTCGGGAGAGAAAAGAGGGACCGAGTGACCGGCCCCCCACCTGCTGGGAGGTCCGGACGGAGTCCGTTGGCCGGCTGGGTTCGCCGAGCCCAGCGGGGTCGCCGCCCGCCTCATCTCGCTCGTCCCACTCGCGTCCTCCCGGGTGGCGCCCGGGGATCTGCACTGGGGTCGAGAGGAGCGGAGACGGGCTAATGCGGCCCTGCGATTTCAACCGACTGCCCCCCATTTGTGCCCCGGAGCGCACGGGTTGCGACGGCCATCTCGTTTTCCCAGGTACGAGCGATTGTCTCGGAGAAAGGGGGGGGCCGGAGCCCACACCAACCCGAGCGCCCCTTGTCTGCCCCGCATTGCTTTCCCGTCCCGTTTCCCCTGCCGCACTTAGCTGCGTGCGGAGGGGTGGGTTCGGATGCGAGGTTCCACCTGGATGTGTGTGGCGTTCAAGCAGACGTGCCCTCGGCCGAGGCCTCGGGCGCAACATGCGTTCAAAGTTTCGATGATTCACGGAGTTTGCAATTCGCATTACGTATCGCATTTCGCTGCGTTCTTCATCGAGCCAGGTTCCAAGATATCCATCGTCAGGAGTGGGGTCCCAGTTTTTATTAGGTGCCGGGGCCCGTGGGCGCCCCGCTCAAGGGAGGGTTTTTTGCGACCGGACGGCCAGTTCCGGTTGCGGAGAGGTTTGTATTCCGCCTCTGCCCGCAGCTCCTTGATGCACTGCGAGCGGGACGGTTGGGGGTAGCAAAAGGGTCCCTTTGCCATCACCGCGGGCGCCCCTTCCCGAGCCTTCCTAGAGGAATTCAGAAGGCCGGGCGAGCAAGACCCCGCAGTCACACCGCCGATGCCAAGAGAGACCGAGCACCGGTGGCGGGGGACGCTGGATTGGGAGGAGGAGCGTCGGAAGGAAAGGTGTTCAGAGGATACTCGAGGTCAGGCCCCGGGCTTCCCTCGCTTGCGCTTGGTAGGCCCGAGCTGTTTCCATCAGGGCTGGGGAGTTTTTTTTTTTGTCCGCATGGACGCCCGGTGCCGCCGGGTTGCTGCATTCCCTGGTGTCGAGGCTCGTCACGAACTGGAAGGAAAGAGCTTCGGGTGCCACCCCTCCGCCCAGGCCGACCGTGTCCGCGTCTTGCCTCGCTCCCGATCGCGGCTAGCCTTTCGGGTGGCGGCCCTAATAAGCTCGCTGCGTGAGAGGGACGGCAACCTGACCTCCTGCGAGAGGAGGTTCGCCCGGTCCCCCCGAGTTGCGAGCAACCCGGAGGACCCGAGGGCGGTCGTTTCGTCACTCGTTCTTAGGGGCGTTTGCCGAGGTCTGGGATCAACCAGGGCGGTGCCCCATGCCTGTCGGGGTGCGCTTTCCGTTCAGCACCACAACGGATCCATCGGTGCTCGGACTTTTTTCGAGCCACCGCACCACGCCAGCTCGCCGATCGCTCGCCAAAACGACCGACGCGCTCGCGGGGCACGGCCTGAGGTGGGGTTCCTGCATTGTTCCGACGGATCCTCCGACAAGGCCACGGGCACGGAGATCCGGCAGCCGGCTGAACGCCGGTCGTCATCCTTCCGTGCCCTCGAGCGTGCTCTGGACGCTCGCCTCCTCCTAGGAGGAACGCGAGAGCCCGCCATCTCTCTCGTCGCCGCTCGCAGCCCGGGCACGGGTGGAACCCGATTCCTTTTTGCGAGCGGGACGCGAGCACGCGCTTTCCCCACCCAGGAGGCCGATGCAACGCGAGCGCCGCACCTGCCGACCCGGGGTTTGGGCTGCGATTGACCCCGCAACCCAAGGGCTCACTGAGTGTGTCAATGATCCTTCCGCAGGTTCACCTACGGAACGGTGAAATCCTGCATCCTCTTCGGGACGAGGAGCGCGGTCTCCCGCGCTCGCCGACTGTATCTTAGGCCTGCTCGGAGGCAGACCCACCGTCGTTCAGTCTGTGAACTGCCCCTTGCCGGTCTCGGGTCCTGGAGGTAGGACCCGGAGACGGGCCCGGGTTGGCTGCGGATC